AAAAAATTATTGTTAATAAATATAATAAAAAATAAATAAATCTTAATTATTAAAAATAAAAGAATAAATAATTAAATTTTTATTTAAATATAATATATAAGTGAATCTTAATTCTTAATAATATTAACTATAATAAATAATGATAAATGAAACTAAAATTTGAAACTAAGATTTGAGATTATGTTACATCATTTAAAATATTAGAAGGTGAATCCTATATTATCTAAGTGAATCTTAATTGTTAATAATATTAACTACAATGAATAATGATAAATGAAATTAAAATTTGAAATTAAGATATGAGATTATGTTACATCATTTAAAATATTAAAAAGTGAATCTTATATTATTTAATAATTAATTTTTTTATTTTTTTAAACTTATAATATTATACATATCAATTAATTTATTGACGTGAATCTTAAATTTTTGTCTTAAATTTTTATTTTCTCCACCATTACTCTTATTTATAAATTATTAGTTGTTTTTAATTATTAAATTAGATAAAATTAATATTATTTAAACAATATTAGATGATCTTAATAAATTAAATTCTCGCAACCACATCTTACCAAATGAGTCTGAGGTAGTTCCACTTGGGCCTTCGACCCAATGACCTGATCAAACCATCCGTAAAGTGCATCTTTTTATTTTTTAGCAACGATTTGGACCTAACGCTTTGTAAATTTGTTAAAAAAAAAAAAGTCTGAAGCAATTGAATAGTTCACTTCCACCCAACAACATGAGCCGTTCATTCCGGCGGACGATATGTTCAAATTTCATGAATCTTGTCTCCCAGTTAATTACGGTAAATAATTTCAAAACATTAAAAAAAAAAAATGTCTGACGCAGTCCGTGGACATTTATCTCTATAGATTAAATGCTACTGTACATTATTTCATATGTGTGGCTGAGTGGGATTTGCAGAAGCAACTTCATATCTGTGGTTTAAAAGAAATCAAAGACTGATCCTAAATGTGGCAATCTATACGTGAAAATGACTAATCAGTGTAGGGTACGCTTTTAAATTTTGAACCCCTTTTTTTTTGTCCTGATGACTTTTAGAAGGAAAAGATCGATCTCATTTTTCTTTGTGGTGGCCAAGACTTTTGAGTCGGGGAAGAAGGTTAGAAATTTTCCTCTTTTGGAGGTATTTGTTATTTTTTATTTTTATCTTTTTCAATGTTGGCATTGATGATATTGTTGAGATATCAGAACATTGAAAATAAATTTTAACTTCTTTTTAAGGAAAAAAAATTTAGATATGATAAATTTAGATTGTATAAATATCATTGCACTTGTTAACTGTCTTAATAAAATAGTAGACAATTATAATCATACTTCCTGTTGATTATGAGAAAGGGTAACTTAAATACAAATGTGAATTTTATTTTTTTATTTAGGAATGTAAAATTTATTATTTTTATTTAAAAATAAAATTTTTTATATTGTTACATCAAGTAAAAATTTTTTATTTTTTATTTAAGGATAAAATTTTGATAAAAAGATTATAGATCTATCTTCAAGATTTATTCTATTTTTTTTTTCACTCAAATTCTAGTTTCAAGAAAATTTTTGTGCTAAACTATGGTTGTATGATGGAGGTTGCTACTATTTGCAAACTCATTGTCAATTAATCACTATCATATTTTTATTTAGATAAATTACAATGACTTACTAAATTAATGAATCACAATGACTTAATAAATAACTTATTTTACAATCAATTTATATAAAAAATATAAATATTGATTTTTATTTAACTAATTAGTCAATTAAAATTATTCATATAACAATAGTATTAGAATAAATATTAATTTTTAGTAACATGTATTTTTATTTAAATTAATTATAAAAAAATTTATTATACTAAAGTAGATAAACTCTATATCTAAATTGGCAAAATAAATTATGAAATGATCTTAACAAAAAAAACCAATGAATTTATCTATACTTTTTGAATTTCATTAAAATCAACAAGGTAGAAATATCAAAATGAGATGCGCCCTAAAACAACCTTGCTTGCCCTTTAGATTTGCAGTGAGTTGAGGGTACATGGAGAAAAGACGCAAAAGAATCGCTTACAAGCCGTTGGAAATAGCAGCCACGCCACAGAATGTGCGGCAGAAAAAAGGACCATCACACGTTGCTCATTCCAATGTTATTGATCCCATGTCATGTTTTTATAATTAATTTGGTTTAAATCTTTAAATCAGATGAAAATCGAGGAAGGAAGGAAGGGAAGGAAGAAGAAGAAGATATACTCCAGTTGTTGATATCTAATCATTTCATATGGTGTTCTTTCTGCAGTAGAATGAGATTCTTTTCCAACTTCTTTGTTTTAGGGTACATAAAAAAATGTAAATAATATTTTTAATATATTAAACATGTTAGTTGCTTAATTGTATAAAAATTTAAATTTTTAATTTTGATTTCAAATTAAAATATTAAACTAATAAATAATAATTCAGTTAAATTTTTAACCCTACAATTAACCAACAAGTTTTAAAGAATATTAAGGGGTATTTCACTTAAAATAAATATAATCTTTTTTATTGTATTTTCTTAATCTCCACATTTTCTTTTGTACGAATGCTGATAAAAAAGATTATATATGACAAATTGAAATTTTCTCATTGATGTGTATCTACGATAAAATTTTTTTTTTTTTTGTTTGGAACTGCAAAAGAAAATTTAGGGACTTAAGTTTGAGTTTCAGACGCAAAAATTAGTTCGTACATTCGTTGAGCTAACTTTTTGTCTTTCTACACCTTCTTTCTGGGTAAAATCCTCTTTTCAATACTTAAAATGTGGAAAGACGGGGAACCATTATAAAGTGATTTCACACTGATGGTAAAAGACACCACTTAACGCGTGTCTATTGCCTATTTTCAAAAAAAAGAAAAAAAAAAACCATTAACGCGCGAATGACGGAGGTGGGACCCAACTGTGATGTTTGTACTCATCATCTTGCAATTGACTTTGTAAATTTACTAAGTCTAGCCATTTGCTGCTATAGATGACTAAATAGTCGTATCTGTTATCTCCTTCAAAATCAAATCAAACTAATTAAAAACACAAATTGATTAATAAGTGCTCTGCTCTCTCCTCCTTCCCCTCCTCACACACTCATCAGTATCTTCTCGAGATATGAAGAAGCTCAATCATTTTAGTCATCCCCATCCTTTGGTGCTGGTGGAAGATCAGGAGATGGATTGGATTAGTATAATTTATTACTGCTCAGCATGTCAGGAGCGGGTAGAGGGCTCTAGCTACAACTGCTCAGAGTGTGATTTTTGTCTTCATAAGCCTTGTGCCGAGCTACCGCGGGAGATCAACCATCCCCTTCACCTCGGCCATCCACTCATCCTTTACGAGGAGCCGCCGAAATACGCCGATATGGTTTCATGGTATTGCAATTCCTGCAGAAAAGAATATGAATGCGATGAGCAATTATTTGTTTATTATTGCTCTTCTTGTAACTTTGACCTTGATATTAGATGTGCTTTGCTTCCAAACTTGATTACTCGAGATTTACCAGAGTCTCAACATTTTAGCCATCATCAACATTCACTCTTCTTCATTCAAAACCACCATATTGAACCCCGAGATCGATCTTGCTCTGCATGTGAAGAGCTGATACCAGGTCCATTTTATGGCTGTTTTGTTTGCCTTTTTTTCCTTCATCAGAAATGCTTTGAGTTACCCCCTAAGATCAAACACCCTAGTCACCGCAAACACCCTCTCACTCTTTTAGCCAATCCTCCAGCTCATCAGGAGAAATGTTGTTGCCGGTTATGCAGCAAACCTTGTAAGGGATTTATTTATTACTGTTCTCCTTGTGAGTTTGGCATTAAACCTAAGTATGCTTTCTCTGAAGATGTGATCAAAAGTAAGAATCATGAGCATCCATTTACCCTTTTTTCAAGACCATTTTCTTTCATTTGTGATGCTTGTGGTACTGATGGTGAGTATTGCATTCCTTATGTATGCTCTGCATGTGACATTGTAGTTCATAAGGAATGCATTTCACTCCCACGGATCATCTTGATAACAAGGCATGATCATCCAGTTTCTCATATTTATTTCCTTGAAAAAGAAGAAGTTGAAGGGCGAGCTTGCAGAATTTGTCAGGATGAAATCAAGACAGAGTATGGGTGTTATCATTGTCGAGGTTGTGATTACTTTGTTCATGTGGCTTGTGCAATGGACAGAGATATTTTCATCCAAGAGTATGAGGAGACAGATGAAAATCAAAATCTCAATCAAATGAAATTAGGGTGGTTATCTGGCGAGCCTTCTATTACTCGTGTTCTCAAGGAAAAGAAAATTGGAGAGGAAGTAATAGCCATAGAGATTGAACACTTCAACCATGAATGCACGTTAGTACTGTGTGATGATGTTAGAGATGAAAAACGTTGTGATGGTTGCGGGCGGTCCATCTCAACTTCATTTTACTATTGTGTTGAATGCAATTACATCCTTCACAAGCGATGTGCTGAGTTACCAAGAAAGACACGGCATTGGGCTTTTAAGGACAGCTTTACTCTTCAATCTTGGCCATATTTCAAATGTGACTTATGTTGTTTTTTCAACAGTGGGCTTGGCTACGAGGACGATGCAAGTAAGTGGTGCTACTGCATTTCATGTTTTGTAATTCCCGATATCCTCACCACTCAAGGACATAGGCACCGGTTCTTCTTTGATCACAGATTTACTTTCAAATGCAATATTTGTGATGATGGTCATCAGAAAAAAGGGGCCTTTATATGCAGATGCAAGGAATGTGATCATTTCACCTTGGATTACACACGCCTTGTGTTGCTGAATACAGCTCTGTACAAGAATGATGAACATCCTTTGGTACTCACTTACCGCGATGATATTCATCCTCATTCGGATCAATGTGTCTGTGATATATGTGAGGAACCAAGAGATCCAAATGAGTGCTTCTATTATTGTGGAATCTGTGATTATTCTGCACATTTCTTGTGTGTTCTTAGCAAGTATCCTTTCTTGAAGCTTGGATTGACTTACAAGTATGATTTTCATGAGCACCCTCTCACTTTTGTGAAGAAGGATTATTACCATGACTATCTTAGATGCAGTAATTGTGACAACTATTGTAAAGAGATATTCCTCAAATGTACACAATCAGGATGCAAGTATGTTATCGACTGGGAATGTCGATTACATATTCGGAGAAGTCCAGGATTATAAGATTGTTAGAAGAACACATCTACAGGAAACCAAAAAGTCCATGCTTCATGTTCTTTATTTGTTTTTTAGTTTCTTTTTCTTTTGAGCTGCATTTGTTTCACAAATTGAAAAAAAAAATTTTTTCTCCTTCATGTGTTTGAAGTAAACATTAATATGCATTTTCAATATGATTTTAATTAATTATGGTATTGGTAAGGGATATGAATGGATTTATTATAATTTTTTTTTTCTGGTACTAATGAATGATTTTATTATAATTTTATGACTTAGGAAGATCAGCCTTCCTTCCTCAGTTGTGTTGAGGTTTTTTCTGATTCTACGTATATAGATTGTGAAGAATGATAGAAGAACCCCACCATACTTCCACACAACATACCCTTCTTTTCTCCTTTCACTACTGGTTTAACTGCTTGGAATTAGTGGTGTTTTTTCACTACTTGTTAATTGCTTGAAAGTTGGAATGTTGTAATCATTAATAAGGAACAAGGGAAAAAGAGAGAGAGAAAGAAGAAAGTATGCATAAGAACTTGATTTTTATTCATCAACCAAGAAAAAAGGGAGGAAACATAGGACCAAAGATGGAACAAAGGGGAATGCGATCAATTGCAATGCCACTAACCATATACTTTGCAAAGAGAACTAAAGTACAAGACAATAACTAATTATATTGACCGATTGGACATTTCTATCGGCAAGGGAAAAAGGATTTGAAAAATGGCACGACCATGATTTTCTTATGAAACAAAGGCGTCATTGTACAAAGCAGATCATTGCAAGCATCCTATCATCAATCCTTTGAGTGAGAACACAGGGTGGATCATCTACCCTTTTTGCAACAATGTATCTATATCATCAGCTTCTCCTTCCCCATTTCTAGGGCACCTCTAAACCTGAAACCAGTAACCAGATACGTTAGTGATTAGAGAGACCAGAAAATTTGTCTTTTGCTAAAGACAATGACGTGAAACTTAAACCTCTAGGCATTTGACAACCACAAGTAATTAATACAGTCAACTTGAGAAATAGCCATGATGTTCTATCTCAAACACATACAGAGAATTCTTATCCTACAGCTTTTGATAAAATAGCATGCACTGACTCAGTTGAAAGCACACCTGGAGTGTCAGTGTCTAAGCTTAGGCATGCAACAAAATTCGGCTAAAAGAGCTATATGATTTGAGGACCACTCTGGAGAAGGAAGAGCTGTGTCTTTAATCAAGCTATCCTCAGCCAAGAGTTCCAATAAGGACTCCACCGCCAAAAAGTCAGCTGAAAGCAAAGACAATTCTCTATATGAGTATGAATAACAAAAAGGGAACAACAACCACAAAAGGCTGGATGCACGTTGTTTGTTAAGACTCAAATGCAAAGAAATTCACTTGTGTAAAATATGTAATCTAGAGTTCCAATAAAATCTCTAGTGCAACTTGTGAAGAAGGGTTCATTTGTTGAGGGATCCGTTCTCCTCCTTTGCTGTTCCAATTCGAGACCTACGCCCACCCGTGCAAGGGATGAGTAGGCACTAACCTGTTGAAAATTACGTTGTCGAGAGGCAGAATCTCTTTAAAAAAAGTAGCAGATGTTAACCGAAAACCTTTGGAGAAACATCTAATAAGGTAAGCAACATTACCAGTGGCAGCTGATGTGCCAACTTGCCATGAGGACATAAAATCCCAAGAGGATCTACCACTAAATCTAGTGCATTGGGTCTATCTTTCCCATGGCAAAAAGTGCATGCAGAGCACTGTACAGAAGTAACCGAACAATAACTTTAATAATACAGAAGGCTAACACAAAATGAAGTGGACTTTAATATCCATAAAGTGTAACATTATGTACATTCCTTCCAGGAACAGAATTGAAATCCCCACATACCAACATTGGAATTTCTTCACTAGCAACTATTTTTTCCAATCCTTTCAAGAGTATGCACCTATTGCAAAATTAAGAAACACTAAATTATTTACTACTTTTAATAACAATAATAAACAAAGACAGACACCAACGAAATAGAAATTAGAACCTGCCAGATCTTGACATCTTTTAGATCTTGTTGATCATTGACATGTGTATTTGCCTGTATTCCAAAACCACACACAAGTAAAAGAGTCCAAAGATGGAAAGGGAGCAACTGTGGAAGAGCAACAAATTAGAAAAAGAAAAAATGTAATATCGACTGAGTAAATTAGTCAATATTTATGAATTTACAGATATGTCCAACCCTCTGGGAATATCATAAAGTTTTCAGTTAAATCTGGTACAGGCCCACCCAGCACAATTGATGCAATGTTTAGGGAGAAAGCCTGATCTATAATTAACCTATGGCCACTCTAACCCCCTATTACATCTATCCAGTCACATAAAACTGCAATCTTTATGAATTTACAGATATATCCAACACCCTCTTGAATATCACGAAGTTTTCAGTTTGCAGGACCAGCACAATTGAGGCGATGTTTAGGGTACAAGCCTGATCTATAATTAGCCCATGAACAGTCTAACCTCCTGTTACATCTACTCAATCACATGATACTGAAATCACCTATGGTACATCCGGTCATACACTGGCAAATGATAAAAGCACTAGAAACCAATGCCTTGCAGCAAACGGTATGCATGTTATAATCATATGATGATGATTATGACGAAGAGTCATACCACACAAAGAAGCTGCCTTTTGCCAGGATTATCAACTCCCTGGTTAGTAAATTTTGCTTCAAGAACCACAATCAGTGCAACATTATCCTGCTAAGAAGATAGTCCATTCCATTTCCGTCATAATTAAGAAAGCATAAAAAGCGCAACAGATTGCATATAGACAAGAAAAAAATAAAGCAGCTTTCTTCTGGGTACTTGGAATTGCAAAATCAGTCAAGGATTGAGCAGCCTTATTAAATTCAACCTGCAGACAGGTAAACAAGGGATTTATAAAGTCAATATCCCACAAAAGTTCAGACTGAAAACCTCATATTTTTTGACATGTGAAAATCCATCTCTACGGAAAAATGTTGCACAGCCGTCAATTGTAAGGGGATTTCCACTATAAACCTGCAGTGAAAACAATGTCAACTGATAGAAAGGTATATATTTATACAATGAATAAGATAAGCCAGTAGAATAGGAATTTAGATCTTCAATAACCTCGTTTGTTTTCCTTTTACATAAAGCTTGATATCCATGTTTGTCCAGCTCAGGGGCAAAAAACTCCTCAAAATGGTCATTTTGCACCTGAAGAAGAAAAGAATTGATAACTTCATCAGAAGTTCAGTACCCAAAGCAGGTTGATAAAGAAACTTCTAATTTCAGAACCATTCATTCTTATGTAGATTTGAGCCCAGCTTTGCTCAACTCCTTGATTTACGGAAAATGGTAAAATTTTAACACTATCTCCTTATTTGCACATGACATCTTTAAGGTTGAAGAACACAATTACAGAGGTAAATATAAATTACTTTTGGCAACCCTCTTTTCTATAGAATCACTCATTTTTTCTAAGCATCAATTAACAGGAAATGGGTAACGTTACGAGAAGCAACTCAATCAATTCTAGTGGATATTCTTCCCATCAGGATAGATGCCATTACCGTGTAATTACCAGAAACTACTATGCCAATTTTTGGCCTCAGCCTTTTATCATTTAGGCAGCAGACTTCACATCTTTGAAGAGATTCCTGACTTATTAGGAGTGTGCAGGCACAGGGCCTCCAGACTAATCAGTGTCTAAACAATGTCCTTTGTACCAAAAAAAAAAAAAAAAGTAATTACACATATTTTTGCTTGCCCATCAACCAGGCTGTTTGAAAAATAGAGGATTTTGGTGAATAATAGGAAAATTAATATACATACTAAATGAGCTCTGAAGCAGTGGCGGAGGAAGAAATCTATGTTTGGGGGCGGGAGTAGTTAAGAAATTTAAATGAACCAATTGATGCCTTAAAACAGTGATGAGTGGAAAGGGATGTGGATGGAAAAAAACCCAACCCTGAACAAAATATCCAGATGCCAACAATAAAAACAAGATGCCC